AACGACCTCAATAACATTAAGTTCATCCAGAGTTCTGATGGGTGAGTTGGCCTGTTAATGTTTGAAGTGTCAAGAGATAAACCTTAAATTTTAAGTTCATCCAAATTTCTATATAGGAAAATAGCAAGAGGGAAAATGAAGTAAAGTAATGAGAAGTAGTAAAATCTCAACCAATGGCAATAAAGAGTCGTGAAGTTGCTTCCTTTAACCTGAGCATAAGTGAAAATTTCCTACATATCCAATAAAACTATACCACATCCTCATCTTAATCTATGTCAGCACTTGGTTTTCATGTAATAGAAATGAATAGTTCAACAAGCTAACTTTCCAGTATACCTCCTCCACTCCAAATTCTTTTGATAATTAAAAAAATAAAAAGATGGAGAAGAAGAGGCATACTGGCCAGCTAACTTGTTGAGTTATTCATTACTCCAATTTCATTGTAAAAACGTTTAAGTTTTTTTTAATAACCTAGAAATCCCTGAGGGAAAAGTCAAGATATACGGTGAACAGATTGAAAGTAGAGAAGAAATATAGGGTATCATTTAGAGATTTTTTTTTTGGGAAAATCAGAATTAGATTTAAAAAAAGCAGTATTGTGTGTCCAAGGATAGAAAAGCTGACCTGACAAGCAGCTGCTCTGAAAGAACTGAAGTCATGACGTCCAATAAGAATGTTACATGCTTTCTGGAAAATACACAAACAATATCGTTACATGAGATAATAATATTAAGCTTAAAAAATATATGTGCAGCTAGTCAACCTGCATGGCAAGAAGATCCAGATTCTCAGGCACATGCCAAGCCCGGTCCCTCTCAAAGCTAGATACTGGCTCCGGTCCAGATAACAATCGGTAGAAGTACCTAAAAAGAAGATTCCCAATGACCCGCACTCAGTCATTGATCTCATAAGCATGTGTCACACGGAAAGACGGGAAAACATAAATTTAGCATACACTAGTTCATATGTGAATTAAATATCGAGTGTGCAACACCTTATCCAAATAAACAGTTACTTTAAATATAACCACTGTTATCCTGTTAAACATCGACTCTCAGAATGGATTAGAGAACAATCAGGAGCAGTGACATACACGTAAATAACACCGTCCTAACCAGACAGAAGACTATTCCCTGCAGCTAACCTTTCTAATAGACATTGAAAAAATCAATTTTGAGAGATGGTGTGTTACTTGGATCACATATGCATGTACAGATTTAGTATTATTCTATGTGATCAAGAAGATATTGATGCCTACGTGCGTTCTTGAGCTTTGTATCTGGCATGAAAATCGTCTGGAACACACCGAACGTCAATAACCATTATATCACCCGCGTTCTTCTGCAATCAAACAATAATGAATAAAAATGGTCAGTACCTCCACAGATAGAAAAATATAATCAGCTTGATTAGCATTAGGTCACTTTGCCTCAATTTTATTCTTAATGTAATTTAGCAAACTTAAATACCAGCTTGAAATTTCATTCTTAATGTGATTTTAACAAACTGAAAATACCAGCTTGATTGGTATTGGGTTTTGTTGCAGGAAACACGAGGGGAATATAAAAGGAGAGAGAAATGACAGGTTTACTTTTGTTAAAGAATCAATGATTACTTCTAGAGTTCTAGTTGTTTGGTACAACTATTATCCTCTTCAACTGTAAACAGTTACTAGAAAATTCAATCTACAAGACTCATTCTAAGGAAATAGTGGAACTTAAAGATTGGAACTTTGATGAGCCTCCATATGCACATAAAAAGATGAAAAGATTCCAAATAAAAAGAAACAGAAATATACTTGGCAAATATCATGGGCAGATGGAAGATCAGCAAAGTTTAGAATCAAGACTTTGGAGGATTGTACAAAATTAAATATCAGGAATCAGAACTTGTTAGACAACTAAACCTGTAAAAAGTGGTTCACAGCTCTTTTTACCACCAGAGGTTCATGAGGAGGTAACTGCACGAGAAAAATACATGTGATAAGCGAGGTGACATAATAGGTTTAGAGGTAGAAACAACTTTAAAAGAAAATTATTTAGTATTGGAAGAAGTAGGCATGAATGGAATGGAAAAATTATAGAGGATTCACATACTGAAAACTAAAGACAATTGCAAGGAATAGATGAAAATTGGTCACTCAATCATGAATATAGAATATAATGAGAAGGAAATAACTCAACCTAACAGAAGCAGGATGATAACAAATTTCTCTGCATTACTCAAAAGATTGAAAATGCTTGTGCAGTGCAGATATTGTGAAACTTCCATAACAGACAGAAAAGTACCACATCACCAGGTTTCCTTTTGCTTATCCTTTCAACATCTACATGGCAAACATTTGATAAAGCATGTACTCCAGCATCCTAAGATAAACCAAAGTGAGCTGTAAGTGTGTTAATAATATTGAACATTTTAGTAACTTCTAAAGAGCTAAAAAGAAGACATAGATAACCAGCTTTCGCAGGATATAGACCCACAAAAACGGAAAGAAAACAACTAGTAGAAAGATGTTCTTTGAAAGTGACGATCATTTTTCCATTTTGAAGTCACACATTCCCACAGTGCATAATCCCGGAGTGTTAGGGTTACTGTTTGAAACTCGATTGGTAATTGCCCCGCCCCTCTACCCTCTACTCGATGCATGATACCAATTAGAGCAAAGATGATTTCCACCTCAATTATAACAAACTAGCAGTTACCATATCCTTTTTTGTCTACTTCCAAAATTCATCTTTTAGGCAAACAACAACATACCCAATGTATCCCACAAGTCGGGTTTGGGTTTCCCCTTCTTTTCCAAAAATCATTTTTCAGACCTTTGTTTATTATGCTCTTTTATAGGTTTCCCCTTCTTTTCCTTGATATTAATGTTTTCACCCTGATAATGAGAGGAACTGAATCTAGGAGGAGGGAGGGGGAAGAGAATAGATGAGAATGTGTAAGAACCTGCTTCGGTGTAACTAGTCCTCAAACAGCAAAAGGTAAATGGTACATAATGTTGTTAGAAATATAGAGGAAGTGTTAAAATCATATTTATTGATCTTCCATATTAAGTAGATTCTTTTTCTTTTTCTTAGTATAATCTCTTCTTTTCTAATTTGATAAGGACTTCCATATTAAGTACATTTAAACTCATTAAAGGTTGAATTTTGAAGATAAATCATAAATAAATCTGAGCTCCAGAGAATTCACATAACGTTTCTGAAGATAGACATGAAACAGGTTAGACAATTACATTTACTCACTCGTTTTAAGCATAGCTTATTACAACTAGAAAGTAACACTTACAGTTCGACTCGAGCAAAATACTGATACTGGCTGTCCAATGAACTTCTGGAAGGCTTCCTGCAAAATCAAAAAGAAAAAACAATGTAATTTGTCATCGCCATTTTTACACCAAACACTGAACTAAGTACCTTTGTGTAGCAGGTAGCTGATCAATCAACAGATAAGAAAACCTTTTCCTCCAACAACCAAAAGTATCACTCATTGACATATAAATGATAAATATACCTGAAGAACACCGACTACAGTTCTGCAATTAGGTTGTTGCTGAGCACCGGCGAAGCGAGTTCCTATGTACTCAATTGCTAGCAGGTACCGCTGTAGCCTAGGATTAGGATTCATTGTTCTAGTAACTGACTCTTTCTGCTCTTCTCCTTCAACAACGTCGTTGCCGCCGTCGTCGTTTACCTTGGGCAGTTTCGACGGCCGTTGGGGAGATTCCGGCCGTTGATCGAGCGAGTGTTTATTAGTCTCCGAGATCAACGGCTGTAATTGATCGTTTGACATTGCCGAGCTGTGTAGTTCTGAGCGTTAGAAATGCAACGAGGGTTTAAGGGAATTATGGCTGTGTACTTCTCCTTTTTTTAAAAAAAAATTAAATATTTTGAGGGAAAAAATCAAATTAATATATTAATTCGATTCAATTTCTATGCAATATCAATTTGATAATGATTTCTTTAAACCAATAATTAATTTTTTTATCAATTTAATTGAATCAAATTTTCATTTCATATCATCAACATACACATACTTTATCATAACTCACGTTTTCATATTCAATTACTTTTTCCAGGAATTTTTCTATCTCTTAAAATTAAGATAAAATTTACATACACTTTACTTTCTTCAAACTCACCTATTAAATTACATTGAATATATATTATTATAATAAATAAATATAATTCATAGTTTGAAAAACAAAAGATCGAATACATAGTAAGTAACAAATAATGAGAAGATTTTATGGTAGGGGGGTGAGGGTGAAAAGATGATAGCACTAATCCAAACAGAATTAGCTAATCCCACTAGAAGGAAACTATAATCAACCAAAATCAATTAATCAGATGCTTATGGAGATTGATTATTTATAATGAAACTGATTTACTACAAAAAATATATATATATATATTATGCAGTTTTTTCTTTACTCATATGGCTCTTAATATTTACGTACTTATTTTTTTAAAAAAATTAGATCATTTAATAACCACGGAGATGCATAAATCTATTTACGCTGCTTTTGTAATTAATACGATTCATAACATTAATTGGTACCTTTTTTTTATTTAGGAAAATTATATACAAATATGGCAATTTTAGAATATTTTTTACTAAAAATATTTATGACGAAGTAAGGATCTAAGAAAATCAATTAATGGGATACTAAATTAAAGTTTTACATGTTCTTTCCTTTTAAAACTAATAGCATTAATTGATTTATTTAAACAAACCCCTTTTCTCCCTATTTATAAAAAGAAGTCACGTATTTATTTTTTTTGCTTGGTAAGTTGAAGTCATACTTTTGAGAAAACAAACTCAAAAAGGTACTTGTTTCTCTTCCAATAATAGTTTATTTATATGATTTGTTTTCATGGTTATATTATTGTTCTTGATTTCGAAGTTGTGTTCCTATATCAAAAGTTTTTTCGTAGAAATTGATAGCTTTAAATTTTTATTTTATTTTTTTTGAATATTTATTGTAGATCAAGAAGATGGGTCGTGCGAAATTGAAGATGGAATTAATAAGCAAGGAGAAATCAAGGAATGCAACGTTTAAGAAAAGGAAAGAAGGTTTATTGAAAAAGTTGTATGAATTCACTACACTTTGCAATGTGAATGGCCTTATGATAATGTATGGACCAAAACAAGGGAATGGATCAGAGTGTAGGCCTGAGATTTGGACAAATAGTAGTGGAAGTAGTAGTAGTACAAATAGTAAAAGCTTACAACAACAACAAGAAGAGATTGAGAATTTAATCGATGAGTATAAAAAGGAGAATAGTTTGCAATCTGGTAGTAGTAAAACCTTTGGATTGTCTGATTATTTCGTTGATCGAAACAAGAGGGTTGAGGAAGAGTTTATCAAGTTGAGAAAGATGAATATGGAGAAAAAATATCCATGTTGGCTAGAGTTTATGGATCAGTTATCTGAGTTTAAGTTGAGGGATTTTTTAACTTTGTTGGATGACAGAGTTGAAAATGTCAAGGCTAGGATTCATTTGCTTAAAGGGAATTTTAGTGGTTTGATGGGAGGAGAAATGATTGATTTGGGAGGAGGAAACCAATGGACTCATTACAATGACAATGTTATGGTCCAAGGAGGGGGGATGGAATATGGAGATTATAATCAATTGCAAGCTCCAATATATCATCAAGAAATGAGGATGGTGATGATGAATGAGAATGATTGGCCACAGTATAATAATGGTGCATCGTCGTCGTCCTCCGCGGGGAATGGGAGCAACAATATGATGTGTGCATTGATGAAATATGAAACTATGATGCCAAGTAATAATCACTTGGCATACTCACCCTATGTAGCTCCAACAATTCTGCAGCAAACTCCATGCATGATGATGCCACAGCATTCTTGGAGAGACAACGACAGAGATGACAAAGCTAAATTTTCACCTTATATGACCAAGTAATTTTTTGTTGGTTGCTTTATGAATTTGATCTTCCTTCAACTTTAGAAGTCGAGAATGGAGCCATTTCTTTTTATATACAGGATAATAGTATTTGTTTTAGTGTTTTGAAGTAGGGAGTATGTTTTTATTTCATATTTAGTGATGTCAGATCATCAAGAAATCCTTCCATCTTTAGTGAAAAATCAAGTTTGACTTGTTCTACTTTCATTAGCATTTGCTGTGGAAGTTTGCAGACAGAAATTGCTTCTTAAAATCTTCAATACAATTTGTTACGACTAATTTGCTTTTATCTAATGTAGGTTTATTATCAATAAAAAAAATGTGTTGGCAGAAAGACAACTTCATCAAACAACTTCCGACACACAATTACAGAACTCTTCACATACTTTTAAGATGTATACTTCAATAAAATTAGATGCAAAATTTCATAGTGACAAACTTGATTATGATAACACTAGAAGTTAATTCTGACTCTGATGCCAAATTGAAGTAGAGTAGACAGGGAGATGGGGGCAACTTTTTCTTTTAACATTATCAATACTGCAATAATCTAAAACAAAAGTAGAGATCTTTTGAAAGTAAACAAACATTGCAAAGTCAAAAGAAAAGAAACAGAACCCTTTAAAGATGAAGCAAAACTAATAGAGACTAGTAAGTAAATGCCATCCCAAAAGCCGGGCACAGCGGGACGAGTGTATGCCTATAAAGCTAATTAAACACAAAAAGAAGAAACAAGGACCCCTTTTGAAGCTTCAGGTCTACCTAGTCATAAAATGCCTCTTGGAGGCAACCTATGATTCAGACACTACTTTTGAATGGCCTTGAATTAATCGATAGGTTTTTGGTGAGAGAAACCAAAGGTGCAGTTGGATCAGTAGAGTTGGTCTTCAGCTCCTCCTCGAGTACCTTGTCTCCTCCTTTGAATTGCTTCTGCAACACAGGAAACATACGAATTTCATACAATGTGTCTGGTACAAAGTGTCCACAGTTTAAAGAGAAACATGAGGTATCTTATAGCTAAAATGCAGAGTGGCACTACTTGTTGAATATTTATAGAAATGCACAAGGAGTAGAAACTCACAAGAGAATCAGCTTTCTCGTATGCATCAGCTTGAATAACTGGTTTTGAACTCCTTTTAGCCTTGAGCACTTTCTCACGCTTCTCATAGAAATTGAAATCATCCAATATAGATGTCTTCTCTGAGTAATTCTTAAGTATGTTAAGCATTTCCAAACCTTCCTTCAATCCAATCTGGAATGACAGCATACTTGTTAGATCTCTAATTTTAAAATTAAGAATTGACACAGGCAGACTGAACTAAAAATTAAACATCTTCGACAAAAATAGCCAAAAATGGAGAAGCAAAAACTGAGATACACCTCCTGTGTATCTCTGCTATAGGTTACAGGTCTATTATCATTGTTTTCAAGGATGATGTGCCTGAACTGTGTATTTGGTACATCTTTAACTATGTGCCACTTCAGTGGGAAGAACCCACTCCACTTATCAAGCTGCCAAAAGTCCATGTTTCTGTTGAAGTCAACCTGCCCAACCATCTCAGCTACACCTAAAAACTGTCCACTTCCATTTACCTAAAAATTCAAGAGAAAAAAACTTAGATTTTTATGACCATCCTTTCAAAGACACGTCCATGCACACAAATGAAAAAAAACGTTCAGATGTAATCGAAGAATAAAAAACAGAAACATGATAACTTACAGAAAAGAAGAGGAACACTGGACAGCTTGAACCAGTTCCACTTGCTTTAGCCTCAGATTCAACAAAGGCAGTGTCCAATTTCTTGTTTCCATTTGGAGTACTTGACCACACATCATATTTGACACACTTGTGGATATCATCTTCACTGTATGACTTGATAATGTAAAATTTTGCATTGTCATACTGAGTCTTAAAATCCTCCTTGTTATACTTCTCCCTCTGAACAGCTGGCACAAGCTGATCCTCCTCAGCAGATGGTTTTGAAGGGACACTTCTACCGTTGGCACGGGGACCACGAGGTAACTCATTAGTTGCCTCAAACACACCATTTCTGGTGAAATTTCCCCGTGGTTTAGCTCTGTAGTTTCCATTCCACATTCTACTGTTTGTTTGACAGTTGATGGGATCATAAGGCATGAAAAAACCTTGATTCTGACTCGTGTATGATGGGTAGTCCCCAACCAGATGAAACCCCTTCATCAGGCCTCCAGACTGGACATCGGACTGAAACTGCAAAGACAGGGGTATAAAACTCGTCAAAAGAAAACAAGAGGAAGATATACACTTTCAAACACAAGGAAAAACATAGAAAATAAAAACTTAAAGAGACATTTTCCCTCTGAAAGGAATGAAAGAGACATTTCAGCATAGATTTTCCCATTCAACATTAGCAAAGAAAGCCATCATATAGTTAGTTAATCAGAGGAAATTTAAACAGACCTTGTTCACTGGATTAAAAGGCTGAGCTTGATGGAAAGACTTTGGAGGATTTGACATGGCAGTAGCTGGTCGACTCTTTGGGTTAAAGAGTACGGTCGAGTTTTTGCTTGAGAAAGAACTATTTGTTTTTGTGGAATTAAAACCATTCGACTTGACTGAACCATTTCGTCCAAAAGTTGATTTAACGTTCCCGGATTTTGGAGCAGCACTATTGGTGATATCAGCACAGTATGGCGAGCCCCATGTATAACATGGCATGGAATCTGAACCATATGAGACAGGTTGCTGGAGATATCCGGACGAAGGATAGGGCTGCTTCCCATCGCCTCCCACAAATCCAGCACTGTAAGGATTATAGCCAGGCATATAGTAGAGAAGGGAACCATTGTCTGATTGAACACCCTGACAATCACCAGATTGTGTTTAAGCTTATATAAGACAACAAAACAAATTAAGATGACACAACCCTTATTGAAGTAAAACCTACCGCATTAAAGTAAGCCTGCTCATCTAACTGATTATAAGTCCCATTATATCCTGCAAAAAGCAAATTCAAATTACACTATCATCCAACGGGTTATTATATTTAATTGCAAAAGGCAAACACATACAAGTCCACAGATCAAACTTCAATGGAGAGGAGTAAAGACCTGAAGATATAATAAAATAGTTAAGCATCAAAACTATATCAAACCTCTACCAGTAATGGTTCCATATACTTCTGCCGAACCCTCCTAGCAGCATTGAGAACTACCTAATTCACTACCCAGTAAAAAGAGCCCCAAAAAAAAACCACCAAAGCAGGGTTCAATTACTTGCTTCATATTTCTACTTCCATAAGCTTTTTCTATTCCAGTGTGTCAGTTCGATTTTCATTTCCATAAAAATTGCTACATTTCTCTTCTTTTTTGCACCTTATATTTACAATGAATAGAAGAAACATAACTTGAAATAATAAAATGTGCCACAATTCATAAACAAGCATCAAAGGATGCAGCAATCTCCACCTAGGAGTATTAATAAAATATGTACTTAAGATGTAGCTTATCATAAGTCAGCCCTAGTAGAATATAAAAACTTGGTTGATATGTGTTCTTCTGCATCTTTGATAACTCTGTGTATATGATACACAAAAACACACTACTCATAAAGTTAACAAGTTCCAACCAAGATTTTCCAATGCATTTATATAGGGAATAGAATCATGAAGTGGTCATAACTGGTCTGTGACCATTAAATAGGAGCAGGTCCGAAAATTAAAGGAACTATGACAAACCCAAGTCAGTATCTAACCTGGATAGTAGTAATCGCAATAGCTAGTAGGTGGATAATAAGCACCTTGCTCTGCAGCAGGTGGTTGATCATTTTCACACTTGATGCTGGTCACAGCTCCCAAAGAAGCCACCGAGTCAGCAGCTTTTCCATCTTTTTTTGAAACCTATACATATTGAGTTTACAAAAAAACAGATACGAAAAAAAATATAAAAATGTCTGAAGTACATAAAACGAAGTGATGAGCATGATTTATATGAACCAAACAAATGCAGAAGCACAGAGAACATTCGTAGCTCAAGACAAAGACTAAACAGTATTCTTCTAACCAAACAAATGCTTATGACAGAAAAGATTAGTGGGAAAAGAGAATTAGCTCGAGATATACGATACTACTCTCATTACTTCATCTAAAAATAAGAGAAGCACTTGATTAACTATTAACCATGTTCTCTATCCTCGACCTGGATAGTTCATACTTCAATATCTAGGGTCAAGTACTTGCGGGTGAGTTGAAGATGTGGTCCTTGTATAATCACCTCTATCCAACTCTTTCCCGCCTACCTCCCCTCTCCTTAGACATATGGGGAACCTACGTGCTATTTTCGCAAAAATTAGTCACAAAAAGCAAGCATTATTTTATTTTCCGGTATAGTAACATATTTATAAATTTAACACTCCCAACACAAATATATCATGTACAATAAGAGAGAAATGAATAGTAGCATACCAAATCCTTCTCAATCAGTTTGTTAGAGGGATCAGATTTCAGTCCCGGAGCAACAGCTTCAGCTTGAAAAAAGTTAAGTCATGACGAAATTGCAATAAGTATAATAAGACCGAGTTCAAGATTTGATAGAGCAATAAGTATAATAAGACCGAGCTCAAGACTTGATAAAACAACTAGTACCATCAAACAGAAGACTTTTTCGAAATAAAAATCCAGATTATACACAGGGTGGGCTAATTCAAGCATTAATAGTCTTCTTATAATCAAGTGGCATAATCTTATACACAGTATTCATTGGCTCATCGCACATCAGAAGCTAGCATAAGCACATAGACTAGGGCGATAAATGTTTGCAATGGTGCTATAAAGATTTAGCATGTTCCTTTGCAATTTCCATCTCCACATGAGGGCTTGAGGAGAGGCAGGGGATAAGATATCAAAGCTGTTTACTGAAACATCCTTTTATCTTAATCAGGGATAAAAGCTGTTTCCTGTAAAGACATTTGGTAGAGTTTGGATTTCATAGATTCATGTATGGAAACACTTCTTTGAGAATTC